CATGAAAGCAAACCGAAACACTCGCAAAAAGAAGAGAAAGAGCATCCGCCAAGGTTTTTTGCCTTCTTTTCTTGTTCTTTTATACCTATGTTGTATAAAAAGGTTTCCCTTTTACTGTCTGCTAACGCTCTTTCATCGACAGTTCAATTAGCTGTCGACTACCGCATCAGGTTACTCAATATTTTGCATCGAAGAACTCTGTGCCCGTTTATGTGAAAATCGTGAAAGTTGGCAGAAGGAAATGTTTCAACATCGCACTCAAAGACGTTTGGGCGTTCGTTCGATGACTTGCTAACTGCCAACCAACACTAAACCTCTTGGTCGCCTTAACCTCCTTCACAGTCTAATCAGAAGATGCCACGCATCACCATTTCATGCTCTCCCTTGTTAGTTAGTATTCGGTGATGAAGAAATAGCCATGAATGGTTATCTTTCCAGTGACATGCTGGTTGGTTGAACTTGGTTCAACCGGTACCGATCAATCTTGGTTCAATCTGTACCGGTCGAACCTTGTTCAATTGGTGTCGGTCATAAAGTCGGCATGATTGAGTTACGAACTCTAAGTAAAATGATGTCGTTTTAGTAAATTCTATTGATAAAAAATGAATTTATTATATGGTTTATGAATATAAAAGTTAAAAGTTGATGTGATTTGTTGGATTAAGATATAAATGTTTAAATATTGAAATTAAATGTTGTATTAAAATATGAGTATTTGTTATTTTATTTGGAATGTCGTATTTTATGAAGCCGACATGAATCGACACAAACCGGTTGTACCACTAGACTTAGGGCTGCAAACGAGCTTGACATGAATCGTCAGGTCGAACTCGAATTTTGATAATCTAGCTCGAGCTCGAGTTCGGCTCGATTAAAAATAATCTAGCTTGAGCTCGACTCGGTAGAGCTCGGTAAATGTTCACTAACACAGCTTGTCAAGCTGAGTACAAGCTCGGCTCAAGATGAGCTCGATTTGAAATCATTATTGCTGAAAAATGTGTACACATAAGAATTGGATAAATTGCAAAGATGGTCACTGTCATTACTAAAAACGTTCATGTTTAGTCACTAAAATTATTCAATTTTATTCGTAGTCACTAGATTTAGTAAAACAGTTCAAGTTTGGTCACTCTCCGTTAGCCTCCATCCGTCTCCGTTAATGAAGATCGTTATGTGCTGACATGGCAGACATAATCATCTAGTCAGCTTAATTTATCATGAATTTATTAAACCCGACCCACTACGTCATTAAAATGTGCCATGTCATCTTGTCCAGCCCAGCCTAACCCAACCTTTGAACATGCCCGACCGATGAAGAAACCTACTCAAACAAAATTAGGGTCTGCCACATTTTCCTTTCCAGATCTGAAACCATATTCTCTCAAGTTCTTTCATTTTTCTTTCCTTCCCCAACTGGGTCCTTTCGTGATGGAGGAAGAGGAGAGAGGTGAAAGATGTCGATGGGGTCGAGACCGAACATTAGCTCCCAGGAATTGATGAGTTCTTATGGTGGGTCGGAGCGGAATGGGCGGGGTTGGGACCAAAAGGAACTTCAATCGGGGTGGGGAGCGGAAGAGTCAGTGAAGAAATCGACCATCAATCCGCTATCAATCGTTCCTTTGCTATTGCCGCCGCAGCTCTTCCCTTACTTCTTCAGGAACCTAACCACCCTTCAACATCCCAGATCTATTTATTTTTGGCTCCACTAACAAAATCGACAAACCTAGAAGTTCGATCTTCCTTGTCGTTTCCAAAGCCTCCTCGGGGAGGAAAGGCTGCCGCCGTGAAACTCCTACCCTCAAGAAGCTCTACATCAGTGAGGGGTTGAGAGAAGATGGAGAGATCTCTTTTGGAAATGGACCAAGAGGTTGAGAGATCGAGCGATGGAATTGAATCGACATGGCCAAAGAGAGCTTTCCTCTCCTTTTTTTCTCTTTGCTTCCTCTATTTCTTGATCAGATTTTGGGCTTCATTCTCTTTCTCCATGGGAATCTGTTGCTGCTGAAACCGTTTGTATTGAATCCACCTGCAAAAGAAGAAGAGGATTTCAAGGATGAACTCTAGTTTCTTTCTCCAACTCAGAAGCCTACATTAATTAGTTTATGAATGAACCCTTTTTACTCAGCTAGTGAAAAGTGTTCTTCTAGTTCCTCCATCTTTCTGTGTTGGAAGTAATAAAGATAATTACACTTGCAAGATTTATCTTGGCAAAATACACTTGTATAGCCAAAACTTTTGCGTTTGTGCCAATAATAGCCAAATTTGGCGAAATACCATTTATAGCCACTTCCGTCCCATTCTTTAACGGTGTTAGCGTTAAGTGTGACTGGACAAACGGAGATGCTTACGTGGCGAGCTCTTTTTCCCCTTTTACTTTGTAATTGTCCACGTGGATAATGATTAATTAGAAAGAAATTAATGATTCAGTAACATGGCCACGTAATTTAACTAGAAAATGAAAAATGAAAATGAAAATGAAAATGAAAATGAAAATGAAAAAAGGCAAATGAAATGTCTCCCTCTCCGTCACTCATTCACTGTTAATCTCCTCGCGCCGCGGGCTCCGACATGATCCTCTCCGCATATTTCTTCCTCGTCCTCACCACCAGCTCTACTTCCGACGGCCGCTGCTCCATCACCCACTCAAATCTGGCATCGTCATGGGCTGGAGAAATTACTTGGTCCCAGGACAAGAAATGACTACAGCAGGGAATCAGATTCAACTAGTAGAGATCTAGGTTCGGCGACAATTAGCAACCACCTGAGCTGGGTTGGGTCGATGAGCTCTGGCAACCCAGAGATGGAAAAGTATTTATACGAGTTTTCCCAATAGCCTACATAATCGACAACCTCTCTTTTGAGCGGAATCTAAAGCAGCAAACTATTGCGGGGAGGAGGGATTAGGGATTTGTGGTGGAGGATGAACTGGGCGAGGTTTCCCATCTCCATCATCGTTGCCGTTTAAATGAGGAGTAAGTCAGATATGTTTGTGAAAAAACTAGGAACTCGAAGGATTTACAGGGCCCAGCTTGAAGAAGCAAGACACCCGAGCAACGGCGGTTGCTGTTGGCGAAGCTGAGGTCGTCCGGGGTGGTGGGCGGCGGGGAGGTGAACTTGGGGAAGTTAATGTCGCAGGCTTTGGCTTGAAGGGGGGGGGGGCGGTAGGCGGTTGGGGAAGAACCCTAAAATTGAAATTGGAGAAAAGTTGGGGAAGATGCGTCGTGCGAAGCAAATGGGTAGCTGAGGGTAATTTTTTAATTTATGATGTGTAAATATTAAATAATTAAAATATATGACATGTCACTATTTGCCTATGTGGCGCTGTCGTGTTCGCTTAGTTGGCGTGTAGTCAGCGAACCGCCAAATAAGTTGACGGTGTCATTAACACCGTTAAAGTTTCTAACGAAAATGACTATATTTGTCCTACAACAATTTTAAAACCTGGCTATAAGTGGTATTTCGTCAAATTTGACTATTATTGATACAAGCGTGAAAGTTTTGGCTATACAATTGTATTTTGCCTTTTATCTTTATTAGGAAGTGATTTAGATGTCGTGAAAAATGAAGAACTAGAGAGATGGTTTTCAGATCTAGAAAGGAAAATGGGAAAGATCTTTACTTTGTTTGAGCAGGTCGGTTCATGGGTCGGGTCGGTTCAAGGGTTAGGTTAGACTGGGCAAGATGGCATAGTTAGTTTTATGACGTGGCGGGTCGGGTTTCATCAATTTAGTGTTAAATTAGGCTGACTAGACGATTCCTTCTGCCACGTCAACACATAACAGTCTCCATTAACGGAGACTAACAGAGAGTGACCAAACTTGGAATGTTTTACTAAATCTAGGGACTACGAACAGAATTAAATATTTTTAGTAACTAAACATGAACGTTTTTAGTAATTCCAGTGATCATCCTTGCAATTTACCCCATAAGAATTTAAATGATAAAAAGAACACTAGAAACTAAAAATAACAGCTAACTTCCATACACATTCGTATCAACAAGATTATATTCATGTTCATGAGAGTAATTAATCCTTTCACAAGCTCTAAACAAGACAGCTAGCGAGCTTAGCTCAACAAGTCATCGAGTCAAGCTAGCTCACGAGCTTATCAAACTGAGCATGGTCTAGCCCAAACTTGGCTCGTTTACTAACGCGAACCGACTTGTTAAATAATGAGTCGAGTGTTGAATAAGATTTTTCCGATTCGCATGTCAAGTTGCTCGCGAGCGACTTGACTCATTTGCAGCCTTACCACTAGTCATACCATTCCACTTGCTAAACCGGCACAACCGTATAAACCGGTTAGAAAATCTTGCAGCCATCCCATTCCCAGCCCAGCCCTGCCCGTGCGGCCGTGCCCCGCCCTCTTTCTTCCTTTCTGCAACTTCTGAAGAAAATGCAAGCGAGCTCAACCGCATTGATCTGACTGTTACCTCTGACCGTCGCAAAGGAATGTCGAACTGGATCTCCTCTAAGCTCAAAGTTGCCGAAACTTTCTTCGAGCAGGTAATTATTCTTTTCTTCCTCGCCCACATCTCATTTTACATTGACGAATTATGGTTCCAATTCCATGTTCGTTTCTTGCCTTTCAAATCTGGGGTTTAGTTCTTTTTTGAATGTACCAATTGAATTTCTGGTAATGGACGGGGATTCAGATTGATCAGCAAGCGGCCGAGTCCTTGAAGAAGAATGAGGAGCAGCTATTTGAGTGTCAAGAACCAATTGATCCCAATAACTCGAGTTATTGGGATCAACTGGTTCTTGACATGGTATCAGAGCCTTCTGTGACCGAGAGGTCTTGTGTTCGATTCCCGGTGACCCCCATTTGTTAAGCACATGGTATTCTTGTCTTCAGACATTTGCAAACTTCAAGCCCTTGTGACTTGTGAGTGGCTTTCGTTTGAGGGGGCGTGTTAGTGTTGTGGTATATGATCCACGATTGAACCTCTCCCAACAACTCGAGTTATTGTGATCAACTGGTTCTTGACATTGAGGACAAGGTTCAGCTCAAGAGAAGTCTCCGGAGGCTCGTGCTCACAATGAATACTTAGGGAAACTGAGTGAAGATTCTGGGATTAGGAACAGTTACAGTGGCAGCAATGTAGAGAAGGAGTTTTCAAGTGCCCCAAAACCTAAGCCCACCCTCACTGATAGTGATTGGACCGAGCTACTTAGTAACCCCAATCCACCTTCAACTTCTTCGAATCGGAGTAGTGGGGGATCTGGGATTCGTGGTCTGAGGAAGGATTTTAAGCGGCAGGTGAGCTATGGTTCCAGTTCAGCAACAGTGGAAGGGAAGAGAAATTTGAAGACCAGTAGTAATGTGGATAATGGTCTCAACATTAACAGGAGATCAGATTCTCTGGGAAATAAGCTTATTAAAGCGAAGCGGAGTGATGGGGAAGAATCTAGCTCATCTGCTAGGTATTCAAATGTTGAGTCACATACTAATGGGAAGGCTGTGGATAGGCAAGGAGAGGAAAATCTACACAATAAATAAAAGCCAAATGAGAAAACTTGAAGCCCCATTTCAAATTTCCTGTATCCAGAGTGAAAGTAGGAAGGACATTTTGGTCTTCACAATTACTTTTTTTTATTCATTAAAAAGACACTTACTAGGATTCGAACCATGACCATTTTAAAGAAAAACAAAGATCATAATCAATCACACTAAGTACATTTGTTGTATCTTTTTAAATTAAAAACATATAATTGCAGAGAGGAAAAAACTCTTCCCCCATTTCAAATTCCCTGCTCCAGGAGCGTTTGTAGGAAGAGTAGAGTAGGGAGTGTCAATTTTTTTCTTTTTCCTCTGTGGAACGGGACAACTTACCGTACACATGCGGATTTAAACGGGTCCAGGAGTGTCAATTTTTTTCTTTAAGTCCTTTTATTTCGCCGTAGTGGTAAAATATATATATGAAAAGGAAAAAACAATACTCCTTTTTATTGCTAAAAAGAAAAAAAAACAATAAACTAATGCATGAATTCTAATGGGCTAACCGCTAATCATAAAATAAAAGAGTTGAATGGGTCTGACCTACACGGGATTTGCCCATCAAGTAAAACAAATGAACATCATGAATTTGCCATTCTAAAACAAACTATTTTCTCTAGCATAGTATATATTATGCTATTATTTTATATCTTAGTGGCTAAAATATAATGTATTTTAAAGTTATTCAATGGTACAACCTCGACCAACTCAATTAGTCCAATTTTTATCATTTCAAATATATATTATGTAATTATTTGATATCATAATGATTAAATTATAGTTTATATTATAGGGAATGGTTTGGTATTTGTTAGTTAAAAACTAAACAGAAAGATCTATTTGGTTATTTTTAACATTAAAACGATCCTAAACATTTTTCAGTTTCCTTTCGAGATTCTATAGTTTTATTCCCGAATCAGTGATGTGCAAATGGTGAATTGCAGTCATCTCTTTTCTTTCATTATTTTTTATTTTCAAATATAAAGTTTAAAAGTAAAGAATAATTAGAGTTTGGCATGAGTCGGTCAAACAGGCTGAATTTCAAATTTTTGCCCGTTTTGATCAAGTCTAATTTATAATCACATGGTTCCCTGATACCCTATAAAAATCTCAATCCAAACCAGTTTGGCAGGTGAGTCCGTGTTTACCACCATTTTCTAGGGATACAGGAAAGTTGGTTCCTATCCCAAATCGTGCTGTTCATTCTTGATTTCTTTAGATTTTATCATGGCTTGGCAAAAACCAGAAAGCACAATGATGAGAAGATGAAAGTTTTATAAAGCAAATTAATCGGCCAACGGGCCGAGTAAAAGCTAGCAACAATTGTGAGATGCTCATTTCCCGAAAACCGGCGGGATATGCGATTTTTTATTCGATTTTCTGGAATTCGGTTTCTATAAAACTTACTCCACCTCATCATATTACCAGAAACAATATTGTTTCACAAGGTAACAGGTACTTGATTTTGGTTCATAAGGCTGATTTTTGATTCGTTGCATCATTCATGTCTCTTTTCTACTAAAATTCACTATTTTTATCACGTGTTTCCCAAAAAAAACTATACAACAATAAGCTATACACCCCACCACATTATCAAATTTCATACCTCATCTTCGTCCGGCCAAATGGCAGGGGCCACGCTAGTAAGGATATATTTGTGGATGGGGTGGATAAAGACAGGATTGGGGAAATCGAAGGGGATGGCTGGCAGTTTCAGTCTGATGATATTTCTGATGCCAAGGTACTGAGTGCAGGCGAAACGGATCATCATGTTGACGTGTCACCAGTATTGCAGAATGTTGATGGTGTACCTGATGTGAAGAAAGAAGTAGGTGATATTTATGATCGACTAAGAAGTACAGTCAAAGGGAAGCAGAATTCTGGTCCTGCTTCTAAAAAGTCAGTCTCTAATGATCTGAAAAGAGGTTCTTACTCATCAAGTGGTGGGGACTCTGATTCGGATAGTGAATCTGGCTCCTCTTCTGATTCCGAGAGTGAGAGAGAAAGGGAGAGAAGGGATAAAATTTTGGCTGAAAAAGCAGCGGCAAAGGCTGTTGAGGCAGTTAAAGAGCGGGAGAATTATGTTGCCAGATTGGAAGGAGAGAAACATCATATGGAGAAAATACTCGAAGTGCGAGCAAAACAAGCAGCTGAAGAGGTATTTTCAGGCTTGAGCTCTTGTTATTGCTACAGGTCTCATCATTCTTGCTCTGATATTTCATTTTAATGGGAGCCAAAAATGGTTTCAGTTGGATAAGAGCAATATTTTCTACTCAAGGTATAAAAGAGCATTGACTTATTACGTTTTATTTATATCTGCATAGATGTTTCTTCTGTTTATCCCAAAAGATAGCCACCATTGTAAGCTAGGCTGAAGTTTTGAACCTCCTCACTTTTTGAAAGAGGAAAAGGAACTAGACTTCCCTCCAACTGATTCAAACAGCATATCTGGTCATCCATCTTCATGTCATAGTTGCAGCAGCAATAATTGTCTACAATTTACATTAGTTGCTGACATGTTGGTCACCAGTTAGAATTTATTGTTATCCGCATATGACTAGGCACGCCCTGTTGAGACCTAAAGGTGTATTTGGTCATACACAGTTTTTGGGTGAGTGATGAGTAGGCATTATGATTGGCCTGATGATTGAAATAAGTTGGGGTTTCTATGGTGAGAATGGTTGGTTATGATGTAAGCCATGGAGCTATTTTCAGCTCTAAGCATTGTTGATCACCTTTGCGGTATATGCTTGAAGTCATCTCTAACTTTCATATGATTTAGATATTAGTGCATGAGTTCAAAGCAGTTGTGGATGGCCAAGTTTTATTTTGGTTGTTAATTACTTTAACGTTTCTGTGGCCAGGCTTCAGAGCTGCAAACGAATATGATGGAAACAATGGAAGCTGCCGATTTGGAGAAGCAGAAACATAACCATACTATAATGGAAGCCCTTGCTCGATTGGGTAAACTGGAGGTATAATTTTCCTGAAGTCATGCTTTTATACTCTATTAATGACACTCTTTTATGAAATTATATTGAGATTTCTTTTTGTTAATTTTATTGTCTCAAAAGATGAATGCGCTTGCAGACTGCAAATGCTGATCTTGCAAGATCTCTAGCTACTGTTCAGAAGAATCTGGAGATTGAGGTATGCTTTTTGTGATTGAAATTGCCAAGTTATATTGTCACTTTATTCTACAAGAATATAATCAGCTTAGAAAATTGGATTTGCAAAGGAAAAATGAGAATAGAGAGCATTAGTGAAGTGGGAAAGTTTCACATGGATTTCCTAAGAACTATACTGTTAGAGTCGTATATGCTACTTCTGGAAGTAAGCAGAAGAGGAAACCTGGCCAGCTTCTGAAGCGGAGAAAAGAAGAGAGCTGATGTAGGTTGAATGTGGTTGTTCCTTGTGATTGTGGTTCATGTTATCTGAAATGAGATATTGATTGAAATTAGATTGGTCAGGAGCTATGCAGTATGCTGTCTGATAGTAGATTACTTACTAGCCTTCTAACATGATTCATTATCGATGAGGGTGAAACTCGAGTTTGAGCTTCTGTTAGCTTTCTGTATTCAGTTCGGCCCTTTTTCCCACAACTTCTTGATATTTCCTTGAGATTCATAAGGATGGATGATTTTCAAAATAATTTCACGTGTTTCCTTTCTCCTGTTTATGTTCATCTATGATTCTAAGCTTATCTTGTGTCCATGGCAGAGTAATCGAGTGGCAGATCTACGACAAGAAGTTGAGCTGAAAGAAGTGACAGTTGAAGGTGACCAAATTTCTTACAATCTGTTTTGCTTTCACTACTTACTTTCTGTGTTTTCTATTTTCCCCTTCAATTAGGCTAGAGTTAGCAAGTATTGTAGCTTGGACATTATTCACTGGACAGAGCTGCATCAGCATCTCTTCAAACCACAAGTGGTTAGAGAAGTTAATTCTTACATGGAAATCCCCATTGGGAAATGTTGCTATTAGACATATAGTTTGTTGCTCATTGAAGAAACTCCTGTCTTGTTCTTCCCAAGTATGTGAACCTATTTGTGGTCTTCTTTTCTTGTTAGTGTCAAACTTAGAGAAATATTTAGATAAGTTGAACAGGTACTACTGCTTATGCTCATTCATTTACGATGAAAGTGATTCAAGAAATCAACTGTTCTGCACATTAGGGTTGCAATCAAAGCTTTCCTATGCGATGATACGCTATATCGTTTTGGTGACTTGTTGAAAACTCCCTACTGCATATGCTCATACATTCACTACGAAAGTGATTCAAGAAATAAAATGTTCTGCACATTAAGGTTGCAATCTAAGCTTTCCTATGCGATGATACGCTATGTCCTGTTGGTGACTTATTGAAAACTCTCTTTCTCCTTGTAGAATCCAAGAGGAAGATTTCTGAGACTCAGCAGACTGGAATACATATTAACCAAGTGGAAGTGAGTCAGATATCTTAATCCTATGGTTAAACTATAACTGAAGGAAGGGGTTAAAATGGGTGGCAGTCCCAGCCACCATGGTGTCTATGTGTCACCCTCCTCATTTGCAAGTAGTGGCCTTTTCTATTTGAAAATTATGTGAGCCTGAATATCTACCTACATATAACTAACCAGTTTTTTATTTGAAAACTTCAGTTGGGCGCTTCAAAAGGTGTAGAATTTGAGCGAGAAATTCTTGAAGCTGAGTGCTCTTTTCTGGCTGATAAGATTGGAAGACTGGAAATCAAGGTTTGTTTTCTCTTCTTGGAATTGAACTCGACAAAGGATCTTTGCATTTTTGTCCTTGCTTTTGAATTGAGCGGCTTCCAGCTAAAGCTATATATCAGTTAAATGCAGAGGCTGATCAGTTGATTCTTTTTATCCAGGCAAAAGAGTTGGAAGCAGATATTGAAGTGATGAGAAAAGATTTGGAAGAACCAACAGAAGTGGAGTATGAACTAAAGCGCAGGCTTGGGCAGTTCACTGACCATTTGATTCAGAAGCAAGCTCAGGTTTGTCAAAGCTTTTCTTGGCTTCATTATAGACTGGCTGCATTGATCGCTGATGGATTTATTGATTTATTCACCCTATTGCTTGGATGAATCAGGTGGAGGCAATTTCTTCTGAGAAGGCAACTCTCCAGTTCAGAATAGAGGTACCATAATCTTTTGACTACACAATCACATCACCCCTTCTTCATGTTACTTTGTCATCATCGCCATTCGCAATGATAATCATGCAGGCCTTCACGAGATCGGTGGACGAGAACAAGGCGTCTACTAATTCCACGGATTTGGAATCAGGAGCAAGTACATGGGGGGAGAGGGCGAGCGAGAGACGAATGGCACTAGAGGATAAACTTCGGCCAGGAAGGAAACACTTAGGTTCATTGCTTGAACAGCTCGACGCTATCTTTGTCACTGGTGCAGTATTCCCGAGGAGGAACCCCAGCGCGAAGATGTGGGCTGGGATTTACCTGGTATGCCTTCACCTCTGGGTCATTTACATACTAACGTCACACTCAGGCGACCCGGTGGCGGAGGGAAGATCCGGTGCCGATGTTTCGCTGGAGAATATTAACAACACTGGCGCTGTATAGCTTTTGTCTGTAATTACTAATTACATTCCACACTCCTACAACACTGTTCGGAATTTTAAATAGAGATTGACATACATCAAAGAATTCTTTTCTGTTGTATCCAGAATCTTTAACCATAAATAATCGTACTGAACCGGCGGGTTGGATTGACAAACAGGCTACCGCCATTCAGGCAAAACTGTTAAACTTGGAACCTAAGGCAACACTGGCCAGTATCTTTGAAGTCGTGAATGGTTCAAGAACCCATAAACACGGGGACCCTTATGGTCAATAACTAACTGCCATAATGAATCACAAATTCACTCTTTTTCTTTTTGTTAATTTTGCAGGTAAAACAATCAGCTCAACTTCATCTCATCTCCTTTGATCCCTTCTCCCTCACTGCTCTTTCTACACCTTGCACAGCACAAACAAAATATCATGTTCCCAACCCATATTTTGATATTTACAAGTACTAAAGAGTGACAGCTACAAGATAGTTAATCAAATTAAAGAAAAAGAAGTTCCTTTCTCCACCTCACCATGCTAACCCCTCTGTAGGGAGACTGCGACTGTACAATGGCAGCTCGAACAAAAGCACAGTTTTGAACCATGATGGCAGGTTTTCATATAGTGATGGAGGCAGCGGTATTAGGGGGCTGAGAGAAACACAGAAAAACCATTGGATGAACAGAGTCAAGGAAAATAAAGGATCAATTTTCCCCATGCCAATACTAAGTACTAACCTGGTCCTCCTTTTGTAGATTCTATATGCTGGAACATTGCCAAACTTCTTGTCAGCAGAGTCCTATCATCATTTCTCAATCTAATTAGATGTATATTATTTAAGACACATTAAAATGGTCACTTAACATTCTGCAAAATGCCATGGTAACAAACCTCGAGCAGTGGAATACCACTGAGGAAAAGAAGCAGCAATGTCAAGAAGATTGGCCCTAGAATGACAAGCCATTCAGCCCCTTTCAACACAGGTGAAGCCGCCACAAAGATCCCCCACCATAGGAAAATCTGTTTCAATGAAAAGAGAACTTTTGAAGATAAAAGCAGCAGATTCCAAGCTAAAGCACGGCCATTAGTATGCAGATAAGAGTGCTGCATACCTCTCCGAAGTAGTTAGGGTGGCGAGTATAGCTCCAGAGCCCAACATTGCACCATTTGCCTCTGTTTTCAGGTGAGTTCTTGAAAGCAAGTTTCTGTTGATCAGCTGTAGCTTCAAATGAAGTACCGATAGACCACATTATCCACCCGATTATGTCCCGAACATCTAGTGCTGGATCTCTGTCACTGGAATTCACTACTGTCAAGGGCAAACTCACCGTCCAAACCCATACAGCCTGCAGTGAATGAGAATACATGAGTAAGCACATCAAATACTAATTGGACCATCAGCAAACACTTATAATTAACGATCCTTCAAAGGGGAGGATGAAAGTCTCATCAACCTGAAATATCCAGAAAACTGCTAACTTCCCCAAATTGCTGCGCATTTCATCGAAACGCCTATCCTCCCCCCACTGCAAAATCCTGTTCAGGAAATACACGTAAAATCAGTGCTACTTTTGGTCATTGAGCGATGCATATGGTGTATCTATTTGATAAAATAAAATGCCATTTCTTAATCATGGAGCTGTCTTTTTTATCTCCTACATGGAGATGGTGCTAGCATAAGAAATTAACAACTAGTTCATGACCGAGTTGATAAAACAGGTGCCAACTAATCAAACACACATTCAATCACTTCATAAACTTTTTTATATGTGAAGTTGGATTTCAAGAAATAGAAATTCTGAATGCTCCTACGGAACATAGCACTTTCGATTCATACCTCATTAACAGAAACAGGCCCAGACGAATACCCCATATTATGACAAGGACACTCAAGACAACCTGTAATGTGGGAAAACCACCCAAGTCAAAAGCAATGCTCAGTAACACAGGGAAAGTAACATGGGAATCAGAGGTTGGCCAATGGAGGCAATTCATGAATTTATATGCATCAGCAACTCAGATATATATATATAAGGAAATCGAAAGCCAAGGAAAGCTTCGAATGGAGTTTTTGTGGAAGCTTTTGCAGACCAAAAGACTATGAGAGTCATTAGAATTTGTGCTAGGGCCAAGGAGTTCCATCTAATAATTAGCATTGGCAAAATCTTCTTCTACAGTCAGTTTCCAACCCGAAGAACATTAAAAAGGCATCTAACCAACAACTGTACAACTTCATAATTGAATCCTACTTTGTTAGTATACCTCTGAAGGATACTGCTTTCATCACTAAAACTGAAAAGCAGATATAACTCAATCACACACCTGGAAGGCTACCCACCGTTGTGCCTTAAGCAGAAGCTTCAGAGTTTCCAAGTCAAGAAAGAATTAGTTTATTTTACTAGAGATTTATGATCCGCAAAATAGGTCGCTTGAAACGTGGATTCAAACAAAGCAATTCTGAATGATTAACCTCGATGAGATCCCATTCTCAAGTCCATAACACATTTTTCATCGAGCAAGTAAAATTTTTTCTACTATCAAGATTCCATCTCAACAGAGAAAGACTAGACTAGTACATACAACAGTGCCATCAATTGACCAGCCTCAGAAACAAAGACAAGTTTACCTGTCTGAAATACCATGTCCCTTTCAGAATGAGGGTTAGAGCTGCAAGTATGATGAAATTCGTGCTTCCTGGTACAGATTATAACAATCAATCAGCCCCACTAATTAAACTACTTCAATTTCATGTTATACTGCAACACTACACGAACCATCTATTTCCATTATCCACCAATCCACCAATTTCCATGATCTATTCTACCCCACAGGCATTCCATTCATAACTACCAAGAAAAGGGGAAGAGATTCGAAACCCCAAAGAAAAGAAACGAAGAAGAATACCTGCAAAGTCGGTGACTTTATCAAACTTGAGAAGAGCTGTGACAATGAAGAAGAGCAACTGGTATCCCACCTACATAATACAATGAACAACAACAACTTGTAAACGATCTTTCCCCAAAACCTACAAAGAAAACAAAGAGAAGCCCGTGAATCCCCAAGGTGGGGGAAAAGAGAATTGAGTACGGTGACTATGGCTGTGAGAGCAAGAAAATGAGAATCCAGGACGGTTCCCATTTCCAGATAAGAACGGCGAAGAGCTACCAAACTGTTTCGCCAGAGCACTGCTAGAAAAGAAAAGACGGATGATTTTTAGCAGTTGGAGGGAGTATGAGAATTATAACGGCCGGTTGCTTGCTTGCTTAGGAGTTTTAGAAAGTTGGAAAGTTTCGTTGACGGACGGATTCTGGCGGCTGCATGAGAGGCCGCGACGAGTGGTTGGGATTCCAACACCGTGGCTGATTACAGTCTGTCTCTTGTCCACTTGTCTTTTTATTTATTTTCTGTTTTTGTTTCCTCATTTCCAGAAAGGAAAACATTCTGTTTTTGTTTGTTGCTAGATTAAATATTTCGAAGTCTGAATCGCTATTTGTCGCTCTAAAATAAAAAAAAAAAAACACCATAAACCATACTAAATCGACACATATACCCCTAACTTCAAATTAAACTAATTACTAAACCCTAGCAAACATCGTTCCCCCACCCCAAAACCGACTTTCAAAATCTCGGCAACAAAGTCGCCGTCCACCACATAATCGCTCTCCGCCGCCGACCCAATAACTCCTCCCGTCGCGCTGTCTTGCTGCCGGATTCCCTCCCCGCCCACTCTATTCTTGTGTTGTTGCTGTTGAGAAGAAGGAGAAAGGAGGACAAAGAAGATGGTTGCTCCCTGCCGCTGCTGCTGCCGTCAGAGTCGCTCCCCGCCGCTGCTGCTATTCGTCGTTGCTGTCAATCAGGACGAGGAAGGCGGCCCCTTGATCCGCCGCCAAAAGGAAGAAAAAGACGTAGCGCAATAGAACAATGCATTTTAACTTTTATGTTTTTTTTGTTGTTGGTTGGCATCCCGTCGGCGACGTCCGACGTTGCTGTGTAGGCGGGTTTTGAACTGGGCTGTTTTGTTAAATAATTATTGTTGATCATTGTAAATATAATTAAATTGTGTGATTTATTTAGTAAACTAATATGTGATTAGAACTATGATGACGTAAATTGTTTTAAATGTTATTGTGAATGGTGACGACGATGATGCCTCCGGTGAGGTGTTTGGCTACTACACGATTTGATATATGTGTTTGTTTAAGGGTTTAAGTGTTTAAAAGAAAAAAATTAAGGCAAATCTATAGTCAAAACTTTCGTGTTTGTGCCAATAATAGTCAATTTTGGAAAAATACCACTTCTAGCCACTTCCGTCCAATACTTTAACGATGTCATCTAACAGACTGACTGGACTAATGAAAAATGCCGATTTGGTGAATTTTCATTAACAACACTGCCACGTAAATTATTAAAAAAAATAAACAAAAAATAAAAGAAAAGAAAAACATTTAAAAAAATAAATCCCCAAATTCATCCACCAAGCCCTCCTCCGCCCATTCTCAACTTTCTTTCCCCAAATACCTTTACATGTTACTCCTCCCCAATTTCAATTCCAAACAGCAGCACACCCTCTACCTCAGGCTCTTCCACCCTCTGACCGTCGTATCAATTTCCATTGGTCCAGATAAAAAAAAACCCTTCTCGAAGATAACGCAAGCCTTTCACCATAACCCCTTCCCTCTTTGCTCCCAGGGTTGCGCAGCCACAATGCCCTCCTCTCCGACGATAAGTCCATCTTCCCCACTACCGGAGACTCAACTACAGCAGTAGGATTCGACCCGCCATCATCCCCAATCCCATTGGAATTCACAAGCGTTTCCGATGATGCATACCATTTAGTGGAAGTGGAGAATCAAATCCCTAATTTCTAAGTTCCGCTAGAGATTTCGAGCTTGAAAAATGAAATGTTGGCCTCTGTAGCGAATCACAGAAATATTAGGAGTGGGGAGAGTCGAGCGGGCTGTAAATCTAGCCTCCTCCACTTCGCCACTGCCGCAAACCCTCTCCGCCTCTCGCAACTCCCAAACCTCTCCTGATGCGTCCGCCTCCAAAACCCCTCCGCCATCCTATCCACCGGCCTTTCACTACAACTTATCCACCACCATGCCTATTCTCAACGGATCATTATGCTTCTCCCTACCTCTGATTACAACCATCCAGTATCCGCCGCCAAACAATAGGCCTTCCACCGCCAAACAATTTGAGTGAATATCAATGGTCTCTCCCCCGCGGGCTTTCTTTCTAGTTGTAGCCGACACAGGGCAGAGTAGGAGAATGGCGAAATAGTGCTTCACTCCCGCCAGATCCAATCTCCTCTTGCTGGTTTATTTGCCGGATGAAGTGGCGGCAACTTCAACAATGGCGGAGCAGCGGTAGTAAATGGTCCTGTCGGCGATTAGGGTTCTTTAGTTTCTCGATCTAGGATTGTTCAAGGAGGAAGTCCGCAATCGTCTTTCTCATCGACGATTCCCTTCCCAAACATGGCAACCGGTGAAGAGAGTGACAAAGGGAATTTCTTGGGTTCACGAGGGAAGGGCTTTGATGGGTTTTGAGTGCGGCAAGCTAGCGGAATTGGAGAGTTTAGATGGAATTGGGGATAACGCGAGGAAGAGATTTTTGTTTTATTTTCTTTTGTTTAAAATTTTATTTTAATTAATAATGATGTGGCATCCAGCTGATATTGAAAGTAGATTTGTTGATGATGTGTTTGGTGAGTTGGCAGTCTACTAAGTATATTGTTAAAATAACCAACGGCGTCACTAACGCTGTTAAAGTTTGTAACAAAAATGACCATATTTGTCATAAAACTTTCAAATTTCTGGCTATAAGTGGTATTTCTCCAAAATTGGCTATTATTGGCAAAAACACGAAAGTTTTGGCTATACAAGTGTATTTTGCCAAAGCCATTTTTGCTAGCCCTGCTCTTGAAGGGGGCAGGATTGCTCCACAAAATTTGGAGAAGTCATTTGCGGCTGTGGCTGGAACTGCTTCACCGAAATTGCCAACTGAAGATGAATTCCAAAGAGTTGTGAATGGTGCAAAGCCGAGAGTATGGAAGCCAGATAAAGCAGGAGGTACTATCCAAACCTCAACCTCATCTTTCAATGTGCTGAGTCAGTTGGGTGATAAGGAGTCAGGTAAAATTATGGAAGCCCCAAAGAAAAAAGATGTGAAGAGGGATCAGTGGAAAGGAGGTGGGGGGAAACCCTCAACTTCTAGATGATTGTATTGTTTTGGAATGTGAGGGGGTTTAATAAAACCTCCAAGCAGAAGGACTTGATGCAAGTCCTTCATAGAAACAAAGTAGATGTGGTTGCAGTACTGGAGACAAGAATTAGAGCAGAGAAGGCTAAAGAGGCTGTTGAGGAAATTTTTGCAGGGTGGGAGAGATGTATTGAATGTGTTGATTCTAGTTTGGGAAGAGTTTGGTTATTCTGGGTTCCAGAGGTCAAGATTCATGTGACTAAGCCTGGTAAAAATTTTGTGCATTGTGTGGTGGAGGATGTAAACAAGGATAGGGTTTTTTTGACGGCTGTGTATGCATCGAATGATGAAGCAGAGAGACAGACAACGTACTGGGAGATTGCCAAGTATAAAGTAGTGGGTCTTCCATGGATTATTGGGGGTGATTTCAACACAGTTAGAGGTCCTGAGGAAACATCAAATCAGAAGCAACTAACTAGCAGTATGAGTGATTTTAATGCGTGGATTGGGGACATGGAATTACTGGATCACAGAACAGTGGGCCCGCAATTTACTTGGACCAATCGACAAGTTAGTAACCCTATTGCTAGGAAATTAGATCGGGCGTTGGTCAATTTGGAGTGGATTGAGAAGTTTCAGAACTGTGTGGTTGAGGTGATTCCAGGCAACTTCTCTGATCATTGTGGGGTACAGGTCAGCACAGCAACTCCAATTAAAACTATGCCAAAACCGTTTAAATATTTTGAATTCTGGTCAGAGCACCCCAAGTTCCTGGACATTGTAGAGGCTGCTTGGCAGGTGGAGGCTTCTGGGAATCCCTGGCAGGTCCTACAAAAGAAAATGAAAGAGGTGAAACAGGCACTAAAACGGTTCAATAAGGAAGTATATGGGAATCTTCAGGATCAGGTTAAGGCGGCTGCAGAGGCATATCAAAGTGCTAATGCTCAAGCCTATTCGGTTCCTTCTGCAACGAGTTTTGAGAAAGTTGTGCAGGCCAAGGATCAATTTATTCAAGTGTCAAAGGCATATGAAAGCTTCTGGTGGCAGAAGTCAAGAGTCTCTTGGCTAACAGTGGGTGATAAATGTTCCAACTTCTTCTACCAGGCAGTGAAAATAAGGAATTCTGAAAGAGCAATAAGGAAACTGGTCAAGGAGTCAGGGGAGGAAGTCTATAAAATAGAGGAGATAGTAGAAGAGGTGCTTGGATTCTATAAAAGGCTCCTGGGGGAAGTCAATGAAGAAATTAAGCCAAGTATTGAGGTAATTCAAAGGCTGGTGAGGCACAAGCTTCCTCAAGAAGAATGTGCTGGTTTAATTAAGCAGGTTACAACGGAGGAGATCAAAGCTGCTGTGTTTAGTATGAATGCTCAGAAGGCCCCTGGCCCAGATGGGTTCTCTGCTGGATTTTTCAAAAGGACATGGACCATTATTGGAGAGGATGTAGTCAAGGGTATTCAGTGTTTCTTCAATACAGGTATGCTCCCTAGTGGCATCAATTCTGCTGCTGTGTCCCTTTTGCCTAAAGTCACTAATGCTGGCTCACTTAGGAACTTTAGACCTATTTCTTGTATTAATCTCCTATACAAGGTCATAGCAAAGATCCTAACAAACAGAATCCGAGAGGTAATGCCTTTAATCATAAGCAACTCCCAATCTGCTTTTATTAAAGGAAGAAGTATTATGGACAACATTCTGTTAGCTCAAGAGTTAGTAAGTGGTTATAACAGAAAACATCTTTCATCTCGTTGTGCAATAAAAGTGGACATAATGAAGGCCTTTGACTCTGTGAATTGGAGATATTTGTCATTATGATGAAAACAATTGGATTCCCTGAGAAGTTTCTGTTATGGATTCGAACCTGTCTACAAACTGCTCATTACAACTTTAACATCAATGGTAGTCTCTGTGGGTTTTTTCGGGGCAAGAAGGGAGTTAGGCAGGGTGACCCCTTGTCACCCTACCTGTTCACAATAGCCTTGGAGGGCTTATCCACACTCTTGAGAGAGGCTGGCATTTCAGGAAGAGTGCCTTTTCATCCTCTGTGTAAGAAAGTTGAATTAAATCACCTATGTTTTGCGGATGATCTCCTCATATTCACCAAGGGGTCTGCTCAGGCAATTGTTCAGGTAAAAGAAGTCCTCAATCAGTTCTATAGGGTGTCTGGTCTCAAATGTAACCCAGCCAAATGCGAAATATACTTTGGGGGAGAGTCAGTGCAGTATAAAGCCAATGCGCTTGAGCTTTCAGGGTTTCAGGAAGGGAACTTGCCTGTCAGGTATCTGGGACTGCCTCTTCTGGCAGGTAAGCTTTCTTCCTCTGAGATTGACATTTTAGTGGACAAAATCACAAAGCGCATTAAATCATGGAGAGCCAAGAAGCTCACATATGCAGGGAGGCTACAGCTCCTGAATTCAGTGCTTATTAGTATAGTTCAGTTTTGGATGCAATTGTTTGTCTTACCTAAACTTGCTTTGAAGAGAATCCAAAAAATCTGCTCGCAGTTCTTATGGCATGGTGTTGCAGAAGGCAGGGCAAAGGTGGCTTGGGAATTTATCTCTCTGCCTAAACAGGAAGGGGGTCTAGGAGTGAAGGACTTAGGAGCATGGAACCAGGCGTGTTGCATAAGATTGCTTTGGCTATTTCTAATGAACTCAGGGACCCTGTGGGTGGCTTGGATGCAAGAGTATAAATGCAGGAATTTGGCTTGTGGTCAGTAAAGATGCAGGCTAGCAGTTCATGGGCCTGGAGGAAACTGTTGAAGCTAAGGGCTGTCATCTCTCCCTGGATGAAGAAGCAGAATGGTATAATATGCTGGGACTCGAAAGAAATGATGGTCTATTCTACTCGAAGGGTATGGGAAACCCTGAGGCACAAAGCTCCCAAAGTTCCCTGGTACAGTTTGGTCTGGGGCAGGAATTGTCCGCCTCGCTGTAGTCTGATAGTCTGGTTGATTGTTAAGAAGGCTATTATAACGAGGGATAGATTGCAGAGATGGGGCAAAATCAGTGATGCATCATGCCAGCTTTGCAGCTCCTCAATTGAAAGCAGAGACCACTTGTTTGTCCATTGCCCTTATTGGAAACGTCTTGTGGATGAGCTGAAGTGTACAATGCTGCTGCGACCTAGCTGGGAACAGATGTTGAGTGTGATGGCACAGGTTGGGACATCGAGAACAAGAATGTGGCATGGTCTGATATGGTGTTTGATGGTGACATACACTTGGAAAGAGAGATGTGGTGTTATCCATGGTTCTCAATGCCGTACTCCTGCTCAAGTGGCGGACCTGATACGAGATGATATACAGTTTATAGCTTATGGCAATAAGAGTTACAGAGATATATTAGTAGAGCTGGGTTACTTGTAGAAAGTTTCACTTATTTTTCATTTCTGGTAGTTGCCTAGTTGTTAGTAGCTAGTTACAGTAGAGATTGTCGCTGTAATCGAGATATATTCTCGCTTCGTTGTATCGGTTTACTTGAAATAAAAGCAACTGATTCAACGGAAAAAAAAATTTAATAAATTAGTGCGATGAATAAGGATTTTTAGGGCGATGAATAGCAATACCCATTTGGTCACTGAGATTACTAAATCGTGTAATTTTTAGTCACTAGAAAAAATTAATATCAACTTTGGTCACTCAAATTACTAAAACATGTCACATTTAGTCACATTTAGTCACTCTACCGTTAGTCTCCGTCCAACTCCGGTCACTCGATTTTTTTATGAATGTCACTCGAATTACTGAAACATGTCACATTTAGTCACTCTCCGTTAGTCTCCATCCAAAACGTATGTTTTATAGTGGAAAGCTAGCTAAGTATTACGATATAAGGGAGATATGTCGAAATCGTATCAAGAAAATATATTTGCATTAAAAAGAATGTATTTTGTTCACATTTAATTAAAATATTAAGAATCACCGAATGACCGAAGAAAAAAAATATTGGGCTAAATCATCTATAACGATATTTCCCCTTGCAATGACTATTCGAGCACTGACGATCATTTGATATCACGACATACAAATTTAGTAGATAGTGCATAATACAACAACAATATTCGCTTTGTTTTTATCAATAATTCATGATAAAATAAAAGGGAATCCAATCCAAGTTTTCTCGTTAAAAAGTTGTTCATGGACGTTGAAAACAATAACTTCATAAGCCGCTCCTCCTAAAGATCATTTTGTACATATAATCCAACATAATAAATAAATCTCCAATTAAAAATTGTTTCCGACTGTTCATTCCACTCAACCTATGTACTAAAGGCAACTCATGCTACACACATCATTTGGTATCCCATGTTAGTAATCAACTTCAAGTAGTTTAGACAGCATCAACTTGTGCAATGGCATCACTGAAAAGCAAAAGAAGCTCTCCAAAGAAAAGGCAAGTGGACTAAACCCATGGTTGTGGAATTGATCCTTGGAGTGTGGCTAGTAGGTAGCTAAATCAGGCAGGTGAAAATGAAATGGACGCTCTTTCAACCTCAACAATGTAGTCAAGAGTTGAAGAAGGTGGGATAGTTTGGGAGTGAGAACCAAAATCAGCTCCATTCTCTCCAAACCCCAAGCTAGGAGGCACAATCACCCTTCTCTTCCCACCAGCCTTCATTGATCTCAACACATACTCTATCCCTTCACACATCCCCTTTGTGTATGGCCTGGAACCCATTACTAGAGCAAGTGGCTTCTTCCTCTCAAATGTGTCCACAAAAGACACTTCCTTTCCCCCAACTGCCCTCCCTTTAAGGTCAATCACCACAAGGTCCCCTGCCCTTGGAGTTGCCCCTCCTCCCACCTTCAACTCATAGTACCTGTTTCCATTTCCCCACATTGCATTACATAATGTATATTGAATCAATGCTCCTAAAGAGGGGTCATGGGTTGTCAGTTAGTTACTCACTTGATCCCATTTGGCAAAACCACTTGTTCCTCCTTTTCCACATCCCTGAAAACCATAAGGAAAAAGAAAAGGTATGTAAGCAGCTGAGTTCAGTTCACTATATATCAGCAGAAAGTACGAAACTTTAACAGGGTTTTGGGTGGGTTCAAGACCTGGTATTGGCAAGCTGTTGGGAGAACTCGAAGCGGGTTTTGACCTACTCCGAGATGACACCAGCGGCTAGGAACCCGAACCAGGCCAGACTTGCCCCAAGACCAAACCGCCGCGTCAAGCTTGAAGCTATCCAGTCAGTGCTATCTGATGCTCTTGTGGCTGCAGGCTTTTGGCCGTCATTGTTATCAGCAGCTGGCAGTGTGCTACCATTGGAATCATAAGCTGGTGGAGTTTGCTGAGACGACAATGGAGGGTACAAAGAATAATTGTTGCTGGTGATGTTGAGGCTACGTGTTGTAACTGTAGTTGCACTAGTGATTCTCGTTGCGGTGAAGGATTGGCCTAGTCCAAATATGGAAGAAGTCATCATTTTCTTCTTCTTCTACAGCTACTGTTGCTGCTTTCGTCCACTCGAACTGAATTTCTCTTTCTTGTGCATATATATGCATCTAACTATGGCATTGACTATGTCATGTCCCCACCTTATCCTTTTTCATTCCCTTTTCTCCCCTTCTCAACTCGAACGTTTCAATAAGTGACCATAAAGTAGGAGTTTTTTCCAGAAATAGCACCTTTAAAAAAAAAATTACAAAACTAGCACCCTCCCAAAAATATTTACAAAACTAGCACCCTTTTTTATTGACCGCACCCTTGTGATGCGTTTTAAATATAGACCGCATCCTCCAGGTGCGTTTTATATGTAAACCGCACCTGGAGGGTGCGTTCTATTCTGGTGGGCCTAAACCGCACCTTGGCCATGCGTTTTCATGTCTGGCCTACATAAAACGCATGGCCGAGGTGCGGTTTAGGCCTGACCTACCTAAACCGCACCTTAGTGATGCGGTTTATTCCTCCAAGAACAAACCGCATCTCTAAGGTGCGATTTGGCCATGTAGACCGCACCTTCCAAGTGCGGTTTACGTGTCAATAATTTTCCGACACCCGACACAGCCATGCAAAGAAATATGGACGTAGGGCTGCATGCAGACTAAAACCGCACCCTAGAGGTGCGGTTTTCACAATTTTTCCCCCTATATAAGACTTGCCGGAAAACCTCTACTCTTCACACCTCTCATTCTCTCTTTCATTTTTCTGTTGTATATCTATATTTATTTAGTGTGTTTGCCATTAAGATTAACTCGTAAGTTTATTTTGTGTTACTTTTTATGCCATTAACATTAACTCGTAAGTTTATTTTGTGTTACTTTTTATGCCATTAACATTAACTCGTAACTTTATTTTGTGTTACTTTTTATGCCATTAACATTAACTCGTAACTTTATTTTGTGTTACTTTTTATTGTTATTTGTGATTTGTGATTTTTATGATATTAACTAAACTACGATTTGTTTGTGTGCAGATGGCATTCCGTCAGTTAACGCTTGGCTTACGGTGGAATGGTTACACGGAAGAGACCGGAAAGGGGGCCACCTACGTCGGTGGCAATTTTCAGAAAATAACGGTCGGTACCAGACCGAAGCTTGAAGACCTCCATCAAATATGCACTGACGTTACTTGCATGGATGGCACGAGAAGAGTAGATCGTATGGTGTACCGATACCCAAACAGAGCAACTGGGTCATTGTGGCATGAGGAATATACCATAACCACTCAAGATGACGTAGATTCCATGCTCGAATTCTTGAGGTCCAACAAATTGGCCAAAGCCGAGATGTTCGTTTACACCGAGCCAGCCGTTAGTGTTGGAGGTCATTCTGGACACGGTCAAACATCTGGTATCCATGGTGGAGGTGAATTATATGAAGATCATCCCTACCAAAGTTACCATGATCCTCATTCCTATTTTCAGTACCAAGATGGAGGGCAAGGTGCAGGCCATCATCAATCTTTCTCGTCATATGAAGAAGAAGTTCAACCGGACATCCCCAACCAAGCCCAGTACAACTTCTTGACAGGCATCGGTAGTTTTCACAACTACCATTATGGAGCTGATGAAGGTGCCTTTCATGAGCAGGATCAGATGGACCTTTCCCCACCAGCACCAGTCAGCGACCCCTCTGATGAAGAAGGAGAGAACAACGTCAGTGCAGACAGCTCAGACCCTCTTGAAGGTGCTGATGATTCAGCACCAGATTCAGATTCAGATAATGATCATGATGTGGCTCCTGACCGTGTACCAGTCCCCTACTACAATCACATTCCAGACGACAATTGGATGGTCGAGAGCGACATGGAGCCGCCAGAGGTCCCAATATGGGGCCCACTCACTGGGTTTACAAAGGGCCAAAAATTTGGCTCGAAGAAGGATGTGCGGCATGCCCTTGAGACTGAAGCAATGACTCGGCATTTTGAATGGTCGACAACTCATTCCAACACCAAAAGGCTCATATTCAGATGCCGTAATCATCACGAGGGGTGCAATGTTAGGATTCGGGCCATCAACAGCAAGAGACACGGCCACTGGGTCATATCCCGTGCGGTCAACACACACACATGTGTGTCATCCATAACTTCCCAAGGCCATCGACAGTTGAAATCCAGGGTGGTTGCTGCGGCTATCAAGCATCTGATTGAGGCTGAACCGGATCTGAAGGTGAAAGTCATAATCGCTGACATTGCAAGTCGTTTTGGTTATATGATTAACTATAAGAAGGCGTGGCATGGAAAGCAGAAAGCTATGGCCGCCGTCTATGGTGATTGGGAAGAATCATATGCATTCCTTACCAGACTAATACTGGCATTGGAGGCGTCTAACCCTGGGACTGTGTTCTCCCCTCGATACCAAGATGAAGAGATACAACCCCCAGAGGCAGGTAACGAACGCCATTTTCGCAGACTGTTTTGGGCATTCAAGCCTTCTATTGATGGTTTTGGCTTTTGTATCCCTGTGATTACTGTGGATGGTACATTCCTTACCGGCAAGTACAAGGGCACTCTCCTGATTGCCAGTGGGGCGGATGCAAACAGACAAGTCTTTCCTTTAGTCTTCGCCATTGTTGAGGGAGAGAATGCTGATAGCTATGGATGGTTTTTCCGACAAATCCAAATCCACGTCACCAGGAGGACGAACCTGACAATAATCTCTGATCGGCACGCCGGCATTAGAGCATCCATCTTAGGCGTGGATCCAGCCTGGAATTGGTCCCAAAGGTGGTGCATACGACACTTCAAAAGCAACTGGAACCATCATTTCAAACGGAAGAAGCTAGCTGATAATTTGTGGTGGATTGGTAACCTCTCTATCGCTCTCAATTAACAATATCTTGTAATATCGGGAGTGGTGCACTTGTTAGACTCTTTCTAAAGAGATGCATGCCTAAGGAAATGGGGTTTTAAGCGATTATGATGGTCCTCCCATTTCCTGGGAAAATTGGGTTTTAAGCGATCTTCGGATCCCCCCTTTTTCTGTCAAACAGGCTGTGTTTCTAAGGAGATGTATACCTCTCCTAAGAGTCTAACGAGAGTCTGAACGTGCATTTTGAAATTGTACTAAATTGAGGATCATTGACTAACAGACGACTTTTCTGTGTGTTATTCAGCGGTTGCATACCAGGAGAAAAAATTTCAGGAGAAGTTGCAAAAGCTGCGCGAGTTATGCACTGAAGGGGCACAGTGGCTGGATGGAAACGACCTATCCATGTGGACATTTCATAAAGATGGAGGGAAAAGATGGGGTACAGCCAAGTAGACTGTTTGCAATCCTCCTGATGAAGCCCACATCTTCATTGCCCAACTCATTTCTTCCGGTAGTAATATCTTTAATCCGCTCGACCCCATCAGCCTAAATCACAAAAACAAAAAAAAAAAAACGTTACAAAGAGATTTTAGGAACCAAGTAATAAATCATAGTATGTTTAGACTGGTTATACTTACTAATGCACCATCGGCCGCACCCTCCGGAGTCATGTAACGAACCGATGTTTGCCGATATCGATCCAAGTATGGGTCATGATACCCCATTCGGCCCACTTGATTTGGAGTGACAATATCCTGTAGTTGTCGGTTCTCCCAAATCGCGATGAATTCCCTCAACTTCGTGGGCCAATCGCGAGTACCTTGCCGACCATCTCGGCCATGGAAGGCCTTTTGACTTTCGGGGACCTCCAACGGAATGCACTGTTCCCGACCAAACTGACGGAGGCATCGATCCGGCAAGTGCCACTCCACGGTCCCAAAACAAATTAGAGGAACCCTCGTGCACCATTGCCCGATATGACCGGGGAATTGCTGGAGATGCCATTGAATGATGTTCTCCGGGTATGGATCGAAGACGATCTACAAGAAAGAAATGAGTAACGTAAGATTAATTAATTAGAAAAATACATGTAGTCCCATTAAAAACAAATGTAAATGGATCACAGTATAGAAGTTACCTCTCCTTCCCAAAGTCGCTCAAACCTCCTCCGATACTCCTCCAACTTGTGTTGGGCAAGGTTGTCGCATGTTGTGTGTCCAAGCCACCTTATTAATAAGACAAGAATGAAACTACAATAAGATAAAACACAAGGCAAAATGTGTTATGACTACATGATGGGGTATGAGAAGTTTACCTTGCTCCATAAGCTTCACCTCTTAGGGGATGATCGATTGGCCAATCCCTGTCTTGACGTTGGGCCGGTGCAAGCCATGACATATGCTCCCAAGCCCAAAATTGGACGATGAACATTGCGCCACTGACCTCCCTCACGGCTTTTAGAGACGCATTGCACAAGTTGTGGTAGATCATAGCTAGGCAAGCGGATGCCCAACTATACTCCCCCATCTCCTCCCAACTACTGAAGATGATCCTAAGCCATCCACAACTAAGGAGATTGCTTGGTTTCTTGGAGAAGAACACTCCTCCGATCATGCCTATGAGATAGACACGAGCATATCTCTCCTTCTCATCCTCCGGACTTTCCTCGGTAAGCGGATGACTCTCGTAATGATCTCTAAAATACTTTGTCAACCATGTAATTGAGACTTGGTGCTTCCTCATTGGTGGCATGCGATCGGTCGCATCAACGCAACCCTTCACCGGTACTTTCACTCCCAAATTACTGTGGATGAAATGCTGCCAACCGGGCATACCGTCACAATCCTCGGGGGGATGATCACTCACGCACACCGGTTTGCCGTCGATGGGCAGATGGGTTAGGATGGCGACATCCTTTAGCGTGATGGTGGCCTCTCCTTCTCTAAAGTTGAAACAATGGGTCTCCTTTCTCCATCTCTCGGCTAATGCGGTGATGAGTTGGCGATCGATTTGGATGCCGTTAAAATGCCGAATCGAGTCTAACCGTGCCCTTTTGAGAAATGGCAAGATAGCTGGGTGGAATGGGAGCACATTGGTGGTACCCCTGTAGCGGATTATTGTTTGTGCCTCCTAGCAAAAATGTACACGTTAATTATTATTAGTAAGGGTTT